ATGGTTGGGGTGTCTGCAGAGCGCCTGATGCCCACTACGGGTGGACCGCCATCCCTCTATGGTTGGGGTGTCTGCAGAGCGCCTGATGCCCACTATGGGTGGACCCCCTCCCTCTATGGTTGGGGTGTCTGCAGAGCGCCTGATGCCCACTACGGGTGGACCACCCTCCCTCTATGGTTGGGGGTGTCAGCAGTACTTCCGAGTCTGTGACTGGAAAGTAGCTGCATACAATTAAACTCTCTGGGCACAGGAAAGATAAATGTACTGCCCGCCCAGCTCCCTTCTCTGATGGTGAGCACTGCCCAGAAAATCTTTCATGGAAGCTTCACAGATGTGTGGCAGAGCACCCTATTAGCTCATTTTATGGACAAGGTATTTTCCATACTCCGAATTTGGACAAATGGCCAGGTGCCGGTGGCTCACACCTGTAATCCTAGCTACTCAGAAGGCTGAGATCTAAGGATCATGGTTCAAAGCCAGCACAGGCAGGAAAGTCTGTGAGACTCTTTTTTGTTTGTTTGTTTGTTTTGTCATGGGGCTTGAACTCTGGGCCTGGGCGCTGTCCCTCAGCTCTTCAGCTGAAGGCAAGTGCTCTACCTCTTGAGCCACAGTGCCACTTCTGGTTTTTTGGTGGTTTATTGGAGATAAGAGTTCCACGGACTTTCCTGCCCAGGCTGGCTTTGAACCAGGATCCTCAGATCTCAGCCTCCTGAGTAGCTAGGATTACAGGCGTGAGCCACCAGCACCCAGCTTTAGTGAGACTCTTATCTCCAATAAACCACCAGAAAACTGGAAGCAGTGCTGTGGCTCAAGTGGTAGAGTGCTCACCTTGAGCTGAAGAGCTGAATGATAGTGCCCAGGCCCAGAGTTCAAGCCCCACGACCGACAAAAAAGAAGAAGTTGGACAAATGGTTCAGGCTCCTAAAACCTATGAGTGACCCAGCTGGTATTTAAATCCTAACTGACCTGCCCCTGCCTTTCCAAGAGGAGTGCGAACAGCACAGAAGTGCCCCCCACTGTGTGCATGGTTACCTCGGCAGCAGGTGCGCTTAGGCACCCTGACAAGCTAAGGGACATCACCCAGTCCAAGTTCAAACCCCAGTGTGGGAGGAAGGCAGCTGGGAGGCCGACACCACCTGGCGTCACCACGAATGCCTGGAAGCTGTGTGTGTCTCTGCTCCTGGCCTGGGGCTGCACACCATGCTGCTGCCCAGCACCTTCTCTTAGAGAACAAGCAGGCATGGATTTCTCCAGCCATAGTGTGTGGACAGGAGAACTCGGGGCTTTCCTCACTTAGTTGAAGCAAAACAGCTAAGATGGTACTTGTTCTGGCGAGCAGGTTGGTTAGATACCTGGCCCCTGGCATGTGGGCAGTACATGTGAAAGCTGGAGGCACCGCCCTTTGGCCTCAAAATAGAGACATGTTCTAGGCTTTGGCCTGTTTTCCTCTTGGCTCCTCTGCATACTACGCAAAAGGGGTCCAGCTTCCAGGCCCCCCAGAGGTAGTACCCACCCTTCCAGAGCCAAGAGACGGTGGCCTAGAACCCCCAAAGCTCAGCCAGGCTCTGAGTTTGTCACCACAGCTGCACACACGTGAAGCTGTAGGTTACCCACAAATGCTTACTCCACACAGTTTTTATGGCCTCTAGTCTGCAGAGACAAAGGGTGTGGTTTCAGTTTACTGTTGACCTTGAGTATGTAACCTTTAAAGCCTTAGTCTAGGGCTTTATTTGTTGTTGTTCCTCTGGTCAGCTGTCAGTCTTTCTGTTGGCTTAGATCTGACTTCAGTCCCCACTCCTTAGCAGGGACCTGTCCCACGGGCTGTCTGGTGTAGTCACAAGGTTTGCTCACTAAAGCTACTGGAAGTGCTGACATGGGGTGTGCTATTTGTTGCAAGAATCTATATTGGAATCTGTCTTTACAGAAGCACTGTGGATGGTCTCTTGGGTATTATTTTATGCCATTAAGGAAGTCCGATGTATCGCTTTGGTTTCCACAGCCACTCTGACCTATGACACTCTCCGGTTTGCCGAGTTTGAGGATTTCCCTGAGACCTCGGAGCCCGTTTGGATCCTGGGTAGAAAATACAGCATTTTCACAGGTACTGGCCTCTGCTTCTGCAGAAAGCCTCTCATGATAGCGATTGCTGTCTACAACCTCCTATGACGTCTGACTTCATGTGTGTCTCCCTCTTTTAAACAACCCTAGAGAAGGACGAGATCCTGTCTGACGTGGCGTCCAGACTGTGGTTTACCTATAGGAGAAACTTCCCAGCCATTGGTAAGCATCTCACTTTTCTTCGGTCTACAACAACATCGTGCTTTAGAAAGGAGGAGACCTTACACTGAACAGTTTAAACTCCATGCCAGACACCTCATTTTATCTCCAAAGCAACCCTGGATAAATAAATAGTCTGAGGTCCCCTGCCCAGTAATGGCAGAACTCAGCTCCAAACCGGGTGGTGGTGTTTTCTGCCAGCAAACTACAGCTTGCTACTGGAGCTTAAAGTCAGCCTTAAGGGTCCGGACAGCATTTTAAACATGGAGAAGCAGAGTGTTGGCCACAGTAAGACAGTATGCTGCCTCAGAAGATTTTGGGTTCTAGTTGTATATTTGAGCGTGTGTCCTGGGTCCCTAGTACCACATAATTTTCATCCTCAACTGGGAAGATTGAAGAGCAAGGTTGTATGATGTGCTTTCATGAGACATTAAAGTAGATTCCTTACACGTGATTTTTGTGGGGGCTGGTGGGTCCCACTATAATCCTAGCTACTCAGGAGGCCAAAATCTGCAGATCATAGTTTGAAGCCAGTTTTGGCAGAAAAGTCTATGAGACTCTTATCTCTAGTTCACCAGCAAAAAATAGTCAGAAGTGGAGATGTGGCTCAAGTGGTAGCATACCGATCTTGAATGAAAAAAGCTGAGAGCAGTGCTCAGGTCCTGAGTTTGAACCCCAGTGTGTGCCTGGTGTGTAAAGGCACAAATACACACACACGCAGTGATTTTTTGCCCTTGTGTCCCCTGGATGGGGCTATAGACCTGTTTTCAGCCTTGCCTCTTAGAGCCAGAGACCCCTAGGCTGGCCATTAGGGACCAGGCTGACCCTATACGGTCCCTGTGGCCAGGCCCCAGAACCCTCCCTTCTTTTCATGCTTTCTCCAACAGTGAAGTAAAGGGATGCACTGGCTTCATGTTCCAGAACACTCGAGCAATAAAATCCACATCATTGTAGGTTATTGTTTAGTTCAGTAATTCATCAGGTAGAGCTTGGGGATAGACTTTCAGTCCACAGATTATAGATTCCAGTATCACACCTTGGCCAAGCTTGTTCTTTACATGGGCCTGGTCCCTGGAGGAGGTCAGACTAGAGGGGTGCCTTTCTTGTGGAGGAGACAAGGGTGGTCTCATGTGACTCTGCAGAGATTAGAAGTAGGTGAGGGTGATAGAGGAAAGCTCTCTCCAGGGCCCTGCAGACTGTGCTGTGCTCCTGTGTGGAAGGGGCTCTTACTGAGGGAAGAGGCACAGTGTACCCTCACTGGCACGGTGTACCCTCACTGGTACGGTATACCCTCACTGGCAGTGTACCTTCACCGGCACGGTGTACCCTCACCGGCACAGTGTTCCTTCACCGGCATGGTGTACCCTCACCAGCATGGTGTACCTTACCAGCACCGTGTACCCTCACCGGCACAGTGTACCCTCACCAGCACGGTGTACCCTCACCAGCAGTATATCCTCACCGGCAGTATATCCTCACCGGCACAGTGTACCCTCACTGGCACGGTGTACCCTCACTATCATGGTGTACCTTCACCGGCACGGTGTACCTTCACCTGCACGGTGTACCCTCACTGGCACGGTGTACCCTCACTGGCACGGTGTACCCTCACCGGCATGGTGTACCCTCACTATCATGGTGTACCTTCACCGGCACGGTGTACCTTCACCAGCACGGTGTACCTTCACCGGCACGGTGTACCCTCACCGGCACGGTGTACCCTCACCGGCACGGTGTACCCTCACCGGCACGGTGTACATCCTTCTTCCTCATCACAGCTCTTCCATGGCATTCTACTGAACTCACCGAGGACCAGCAGGATATTTTCCATGTGTTGGTTACATATTTTCACTGGAGTATATGTTGTCTTTCTGGATCCCAGAAGTGGACATGAAGTAACAGGGCCCAGGGCACATGTGCTGGAAGTGTGGAGAGTTACAGTACCCACTGCAGTGCGTGCCCTGTCCACACCAGTAACACTGCAGCACGTGTCCATCCACACCAGTAACACTGCAGCACGTCCATTCACACCAGTAACACTGCAGCGTGTCCATCCACACCAGTAACACTGCAGCACGTGTCCATCCACACCAGTAACACTGCAGCACATCCATCCACACCAGTAACACTGCAGCATGTCCATCCACACCAGTAACACTGCAGCACGTGTCCATCCACACTAGTAACACTGCAGCATGTCCATTCACACCAGTAACACTGCAGCATGTCCATCCACACCAGTAACACTGCAGCATGTCCATCCACACCAGTAACACTGCAGCACGTCCATCCACACCAGTAACACTGCAGCGTGTCCATCCACACCAGTAACACTGCAGCGTGTCCATTCACACCAGTAACACTGCAGCGTGTCCATCCACACCAGTCACACTGCAGCACGTCCATCCACACCAGTAACACTGCAACGTGTCCATCCACACCAGTAACACTGCAGTGTGTCATCCACACCAGTAACACTGCAGCACGTGTCCATCCACACCAGTAACACTGCAGCATGTCCATTCACACCAGTAACACTGCAGCATGTCTATTCACACCAGTAACACTGCAGCACATGCATCCACACCAGTAACACTCAGCACGTCCATCCACACCAGTAACACTGCAGCGTGTCCATCCACACCAGTCACACTGCAGCATGTCCATCCACACCAGTAACACTGCAGCGTGTCCATCCACACCAGTAACACTGCAGCACGTGTCCATCCACACCAGTAACACTGCAGCGTGTCCATCCACGCCAGTAACACTGCAGCACGTGTCCATTCACACCAGTAACACTGCAACGTGTCCATCCACACCAGTAACACTGCAGCGTGTCCATCCACACCAGTAACACTGCAGCGTGTCCATCCACACCAGTCACACTGCAGTGTGTCCATTCACACCAGTAACACTGCAACGTGTCCATCCACACCAGTAACACTGCAGCATGTTCATTCACACCAGTAACTCTGCAGCACGTCCATTCACACCAGTAACACTGCAGCACGTGTCTATTCACACCAGTAACACTGCAGAGTGTCCATCCACACCAGTAACACTGCAGCACGTGTCCATTCACACCAGTAACACTGCAGCACGTCCATCCACACCAGTAACACTGCAGCGTGTCCATCCACGCCAGTAACACTGCAGCACGTGTCCATTCACACCAGTAACACTGCAACGTGTCCATCCACACCAGTAACACTGCAGCGTGTCCATCCACACCAGTAACACTGCAGCACGTCCATCCACACCAGTAACACTGCAGCATGTCCATTCACACCAGTAACACTGCAGCATGTCCATCCACACCAGTAACACTGCAGCATGTCCATCCACACCAGTAACACTGCAGCACGTCCATCCACACCAGTAACACTGCAGCGTGTCCATCCACACCAGTAACACTGCAGCGTGTCCATTCACACCAGTAACACTGCAGCGTGTCCATCCACACCAGTCACACTGCAGCACGTCCATCCACACCAGTAACACTGCAACGTGTCCATCCACACCAGTAACACTGCAGTGTGTCATCCACACCAGTAACACTGCAGCACGTGTCCATCCACACCAGTAACACTGCAGCATGTCCATTCACACCAGTAACACTGCAGCATGTCTATTCACACCAGTAACACTGCAGCACATGCATCCACACCAGTAACACTCAGCACGTCCATCCACACCAGTAACACTGCAGCGTGTCCATCCACACCAGTCACACTGCAGCATGTCCATCCACACCAGTAACACTGCAGCGTGTCCATCCACACCAGTAACACTGCAGCACGTGTCCATCCACACCAGTAACACTGCAGCGTGTCCATCCACGCCAGTAACACTGCAGCACGTGTCCATTCACACCAGTAACACTGCAACGTGTCCATCCACACCAGTAACACTGCAGCGTGTCCATCCACACCAGTAACACTGCAGCGTGTCCATCCACACCAGTCACACTGCAGTGTGTCCATTCACACCAGTAACACTGCAACGTGTCCATCCACACCAGTAACACTGCAGCACGTGTCCATCCACACCAGTAACACTGCAGCACGTCCATCCACACCAGTAACACTGCAGCACGTGTCCATCCACACCAATAACACTGCAGCATGTCCATCGACACCAGTAACACTGCAGCGTGTCCATTCACACCAGTAACACTGCAGCGTGTCTATTCACACCAGTAACACTGCAGCACGTCCATCCACACCAGTAACAATCAGCATGTCCATCCACACCAGTAACACTCAGCACGTCCATCCACACCAGTAACACTGCAGCATGTCCATCCACACCAGTAACACTGGACATCATGAACTTTTTCCTTTCTGGTAAATTGGTAACCAAGGAAAATTGCATTTTCTGGATTCATCTTGGGGGTTATTGTTCCAAGCCAGTAGCCATTGTCATACATGACTGGCTTGTTCATATATTTTCCTGCTTGGAGGGACCCAGGAGTCGGTGCTGTTGATGTGGTGTCGACTCAGGACTCCGGCCGGGACTCGACATGGTGGCCCTGTTAAGCATGTGCTTCTCTCTCCGTCATAGGGGGAACAGGCCCCACCTCAGACACGGGCTGGGGCTGCATGCTGCGGTGCGGACAGATGATCTTTGCCCAGGCTCTTGTGTGCCGACACTTAGGCCGAGGTGAGTCACGGTGACTGGGGGGCTGTGGTGAGGAACCATCGGTTAAACCCAGTTAGAGTTCAGAAGCTTCTCCTGTGACATCTGTTGGGTTTTTGGTTTTGTTTTTTTGGTGCCAGTCCTGGAGTTTGAGCTCAGGGTCTGGGCACTGTCCCTGAGCTGCTTTTGCTCAAGGCTGGCACTCTACCACTTGAGTCACAGCACTACTGGCTTTTTTAGTCGTTTATGGAGATAAGAGTCTCACGGACTTTCCTGCCTGGGCAACTTCGAACTGCAATCCTTAGATCTCAGCTTCCCCAATAGCTAGGATTACAAGCGTGAGCCACCAGCGCCTGGCGACCTATTGGTTTTTATTGGTTAGAGGAACTGATTTTGGAGTGCTTATATGAATGTTTGTATTTTAAAGATTATCTATAAATGTTCCTCTTTAACTGTATTTTACTTTCAGTCTGGATTTGTTTTGATGAGTTGGTGTTTTGTATGTTTGAGATCCTGGTGAATCTGGCTGTGTGTGTGTGTGTCTGTTGTGGGGCTTGAACTCAGGGCCTGGGAACTGTCCCTGAACCTCTTTGTGCTCAAAGCTAGCGCTCTATCACTTTGAGCCACAACACCACTTCCAGGTTTTGGGTGGTTAATTGGAGATAAAAGTGTCGCAGGGACTTTTCTGCTCAGGATGGCTTCAAACAGCGATCCTTAGATTGCAGCCTCCTGAGTAGCTAGGATAACAGGGGTGAGCCACCGGCTCCTGACAAATTTGGCTTTTTTTTTTTTTTGTCAGTCATGGGGCTTGAACCCTGGGCCTGGGCGCTGTCCCTCAGCTCTTCAGCTCAAGGGTAGCACCCCTACCACTTGAGCCACAGTGCCACTTAGCTTTTTCTGCTTATGTGGTGCTGAGGAATCGAACCCGGGGTCTCATGCATGCAAGGCAAGCGCTCTACCACTGAGCCACCTTCCTAGCCCCAAATTTGGCCTTTTACTTTAGAAAGGTTGGAAGAAGTTTGGGGCTTGTCTGAGTTAGTGTGCTCTTGTGTGTGTTTGTTTCCCATAGATTGGAGGTGGGCGCAGCGCCAGCGGCAGCCTGACAGCTACTTCAGCGTCCTCAGCGCCTTCCTGGACAGGAAGGACAGCTACTACTCCATCCACCAGATAGGTGGGGCCTCCCTGGGGGCTTCTCTGTGGAGCTGGAGTCGCTCTGGCCTCGGGCGCTGCTGTGCGTGGTCCAGCAGCAGTTCAGACGCTGCCCCTCTCCCGATACAGAGTCTGGAAACCAGATTCTGTCTCCAGATTGGCAGTCCTGTGTCAGGCGGATCTTCTGTCTAGACCGCTCTGTAACTGTTTCCTGGCACCACATGCGTTAGAGGTGGTGGGGGATTGGGTTGTCTGTGGTGGATGTGTTGCTAATCTGGGTTTGTTTCCTGCAGCTCAAATGGGAGTTGGTGAAGGGAAGTCTATAGGCCAGTGGTATGGGCCGAACACCGTCGCTCAGGTCCTCAAGTGCGTATCCAGCCTGTCTTTTTCCCTCTGGGGTGGCTGTCCATGTTCCTTGGAAACAAGGAACATGGGGTCTGGCTCTTTCTTTACAAGACCAGGAGGAGCTCATGGTGACCCTGCCTAGTTGTCTCGTGTGCTGGTGAAGCGGGAGCCTTCACCTGGGGCCCAGGGTGGGCCTGGCCTCTGCCAGAGTCCCATGTGGAGTGGTAGCCATGGCAGTTAGGTGTGTCCCGGGGGGGGGGGCTTTGGGCTCCTCAGGGGCACAGGGGACTGTGCCCTGCCACGTGACTCAGGGTCTGCAGCTTGGTCCGAGCTTGCTTGCCTGCCTCAGTTGTTCTGTGGGACATGTATCCTTTGGACGTCTCTGAAGCAGCTCTTCCTGCCATTTCCAGGGACTTGTCACTCCCCTCCTCCGCATAGTCATTTGGCCGGCGTCGGCTCCTGTGGTTACTGGCCCTTGGAGCCAGCACTGAGGGGCTCTGGGCGCTGGCTGGGCTCAGGCTTGATGTCTAGCTGCAGCTGTCCCTCAGCATCCTTGTTCCGCTGTCCTCTCTCTGTCACAGGGTCCCTGCCACCCCACACGGTGTGGCCCTTTCCCTGTGGGGCCTCTAGTCTGTCAGGCGTGAGGCCGCTCGACACGGTGGCTTGGGCCTGACCAGGCTTGTTGGGGGGGGGCGCCCCTCCGTTTCCAGCGCTCCTCTGTGCAGTCAGCTCCTGAGGGGCAGCTGGCAGCGATCATCCTCAGCTTGCTTCCTGTCTGTGGAGTAGGACCTGCTCTTCACTTTCTGAGACTTGGTGTTTCCCTTTGGGAAGCTGTTCAAATACTGATCTTTTCCGGGGAGCGGAAAGTTCATGGGCACGTTCTCTTGCTTTCTACAGGAAGCTTGCTGTGTTCGACACGTGGAGCTCCTTGGCGGTTCACATAGCAATGGACAACACTGTAGTGATGGAGGAGATCAGTAAGTGGCTCAGGGCTCCAGCTGACAGGGAGGCGGCATTATGGGTGACACGTGTTTCCCTGCTGAGCCCAAGAGAGAGCAGTGCTTGAGGGTGGAGGGCCACAGGAAACCTCTGGTGGCCTCAGTCTCTGTTGGCACACCGGGCCCCCCCTTGAGCTTTATCCACAGGCTAAGGCTGGTCGCGGTGGCACAGACCTGCAGTCTGGCACGAGGGATGTTGAGTTAGAGGATCCTTGAGTCTAGGAGTTCAAGGCCAGCCTAGGCACCATAGAAGACTCCGTCAAGAAAGACAGAGACGGTCTGGGAATGTGGCTTCGTGGTAGAGTGCATGAAGCCCTGGGTTCAATTCCTCAGTTCCACATACACAGAACTGGAAGTGGCGCTGTGGCTGAAGTGGTAGAGTGTTAGCCTTGAGCAAAAGAAGCTCAGGAGCAGTGCCAGGCCCTGAGTTCAAGTGCCAGGACTGGCAAAAAAAAAAGAGAGAGAGAGAGAATAAAAAGCAGTATGTAAGAAATAGAAATAACCAACTCTTACCCACTGTCGGTGGCTCACACCTGTAATCCTAGCTACTCAGGAGGCTGAGATCTGAGGTTTGAGGCTTAAGGCCAGCCCGGGCAGAAAAGTCTGTGAGACTCTTATCTCCAGCTAACTACCAAAAAGTTGGAAACGATGCTATGGCTCAAAGTGGGAGGAAATCAGCCCTGAGCACAAGATCAGGGACAGTGCCCAGGCCCCAAGTTCAAGCCCAAGACTGGGGAAACAAAAGAAAGGAAGCAAGCAAGCAGCGGCGTCCAGCTACACTCAGGCAGGAGTTCTGGCTGAGTGCCTCTGTGTGTGCTGATGGGCCACAGTGAGTTACCTCATCTCAAGAAAGAAGTACCGAGGGAAGGAAGTGGCCTGCCGGTCAGCACCCTGAGGGGACCAGGTGTGCAGTCGACGTCTGGAAGGAGGGCAGGCCCGGTGCGCACAGGTGTTGGTGAGCAAGGGCCTCTCCTGAGGTGCAGCCATAGTCACGCTGCTCTTGTGTTTCAGAATCCACTCACACGGCCCAGCAGCACCTTTTCTAAAGAATACCTTAGAAAGCGGCTCTAAGTTTGGAGTTCTAGATGTGAGCTGCTGGCCTTGGACCCACTAGAAGTGAGTGGACCTTGCCTGTGTGGCCAGAGTATGTGAGCCACCACCGGCGTCTGCCAGGTGGCGCACAGGCCACTTCCTGCTGGAGTGACAGGCCCCTCAGGCGCACTGCTCGCCTCTGGCCGTCCTCAGGGGCGTATTGGTGGTGGTGGGAGGGGCCAGAATCTGACCTAGTAAGGAGCAGCACTTAACCCACAGCTGTGAGAACAAGCATCCCTTCCCCCCTCCCGGCTTCTCGAGGCCAGTGCAAGGGCTTTTTCTCTGACTTATTTCTTGAACTTTTTATTGATTGATTGATTGAGTGATGGATTGATTGTTGGTCGTGGGGCCTGAACTCTGGGCCTGGGTGCTGTCCCTCCTCTCTTCAGTTCAAGGCGAGTGCTCTACCACTTGAGCCACAGCCCCACTTCCAGTCTTCTGGTGGCTTATTGAAGATAAGAGTTTCATGGACTTTTTTGCCTGGGCTGGCTTTGAACCGTGATCCTCAGATCTCAGCCTCCTGAGTAGCTAGGATTATAGGCATGAGCCACCAATGCCCAGCTTTAAACTTCTTATAAAACTTTCTAGGAAAAGTATGAAGAAAGAAATGTTAGTGATTTTATCACTTACTCAGAAATAGCACTATCTAAAACAACAATAAAGTAAATTAGAAAAAAAGAAAGAGAAAATAACACACTAGAAGGAAGCAGTGTTCTTTGCATGTTTGTTAAAAATTGCTGGGCACTCCTATCTACTCAGGAGGCTGAGGGCTGGGGATTGCGGTTCAAAGCCAGCTTGGGCAGGAAAGCCCAGGAGACTCTTACCTCCAATTAATCACCAGAATAGTTGGAAGTGAAGCAGTGGCTCAAGTGGCAAAGTACTAGCCTTGAGCAGAGAAGCTAAGGGACAGCGCTCAGGCCCTGAGTTGAAGCCCCAGAACCAGCCAAAAGAAAAGAAAATTTAATATCAGTGCCAGAACAGCCAAGAAAAGGACTGGGAGAAAAACCAAGATATCTGAATTTATAGAGATAGTTGACCAGAATAGAGGAAGTATAAAACCAAATATGTGCAGTGGAAATTTCCCAAAGAGGAAGAGGAAGCGCCCCTAATTAGGTGAGAATTGTCTTTAGAGCTAAACACCCAACTTTTGTGAGTCAGAAATACTGAAAGATACATGTCCCCCATGCTGTTTCTGAGTTGCAAGAATAGAACATCCACAACACCCAATGACATAGTTAACCCTAAGCCAGGTCCTGCCCTGGCCTCCCCGGCCCTGCAAGATGTCGCAGGAAACACTCAGTTCTGAGGGAAAGGCCCAGCATCAGGAGGCGGGCAGGTATCCACGGGGATCAACCTAGGTTTTTTCATTAATGGAGAGTGGGAACTCTATGTTAAGAATTAAAAGGAGGGCTGGGAAGGTGGCTCAGTGGTAGAGCGCTTGCCTTGTATGCATGAGGCCCTGGGTTCCATTCCTCAGCACCACATAAGCAGAAAAAGCCAGAGGTTGCGCTGTGGCTCAAGTGGTAGAGCGCTAGCCTTGAGCTGAAGAGCTGAGGGACAGCGCCCAGGCCCAGGGTTCAAGCCCCATGACCGACAAAAAAAAAAAAAAAAAAGAATTAGAAGGAGCCAGGTGCCAGTGGCTTGTGCCTGTAATCCTAGCTACTCAGGAGGCTGAGATCTAAGGATTGTGGTTCAAAGCCAGCCCAGACAGGAAAGTCTGTGAGACTTCTTTTTGGTTGTCATGTGGCTTGCACTATGCTGTCTCTGAGCTCTTCAGATCAAAGTGAGCGCTCTATCACTTGAGCCACAGCACCACTTCCGGTTTTCTGGTGGGTAATTGGAGATAAGTCTTATGGACTTTCCTTCCCAGGCTGGCTTTGAACCATGATCCTCAGATCTCAGCCTCCTGAGTAGCTAGGATTACAGGCCTGAGCCACAGTGCCCAGCTTGAGACTCATTTTTTTTTTTTTTGGTCCGGTCGTGGGGCCTGAACTCTGGGCCTAGGCGCTGTCCCTCAGCTCTTCAGCTCAAGGCTAGCGCTCTACCATTTGAGCCACAGCGCCACTTCTGGCTTTTTTTCTTTTTGTTTATGTGGTACTGAGGAATTGAACCCAGGGCCTCATGCATGCAAGACAAGCACTCTACCACTGAGCCACCTTCCCAGCCCCTTGAGACTCATTTTTAAGAGTCGAGGTCAAACTGGGTTCCTATTAACCTAGCAACCGAGGAGGCTGAAACCCGGAGGATGGAGCCATAAACCAGCCTAGGCAGTGAATTTGGAAGACAGGAAAGTGTACCGTATACCAGCACAGTGCTGGACTGGAAGTGTGGTTCAAGTATTAGAGCAACCAGCAGTGCACAAGAAATCCGAGACCATGAGGTCCTGAGCTCAAGCCTTGGTACTGGTACCAAAAAAATAAAGAAAAAGGAATCCCGTTCAGTTAAACTCCCTCACACTGGTCTTGGGTGTTTCCTTGGGATTTGATTTGCTCTAGGTTAAATGTTCTGACGTTCCCTGCCACTGAGTGGCACTCTGTCCTCGGCCACCTGTCAGAGGCCTGTCTCTGTGTGTGTCCTTTGGTCTGCTGGGGAACTGTACACTTTCCTCTTATAATTAAAACAAAAAATCTGAGGTTGGTCCCTAATGTGTTGGTGAACTTAATGACTGGAAAGGGTGGTTTTCCTGACAGGTTTATTGATTGACATTCTTGAGAAGGAACTCCCACTTTCCTTTTACCTCTTCCCTTTATTTTATTTTATTTTTTTGTTGGTCATGGAGGCTGGGCCTGGGCGCTCTCCCTCAGCTCTTCAGCTCATGGCTAGCGCTCTACCACTGAGCCACCTTCCCAGCCAGAGCCTCAGGCATGCAAGGCAAGCGCTCCACCACTGAGCCACCTTCCCAGCCCTCCCTCTATTTTAAATCACCCTTGGATTCCTGGGTTCTTCTTTTTAACCGCTGTGTTACTTCTCCCTGTTGGTTTGGTGCTCCCTTTCGTCGGGCCCTGTCTTTGAGAGTCTGATTTTGTTTGCTGATCACGGGCTGGTGTCTCCCGTCGGCGAAGTGCCCCCAGCTCCTCCTGTGCTCCCTGCCTCCCCCCTGCCGCAGACCCTGGCTCCTGAGCGTGTGGACGGTGTGGTAGGCTGGACTGTCTCCCGCCCACACCCACACCCCTAGTTCATGTACTTGTTGAAGGTGTGCCCAGTGCGTTCAGATAGCAGACCTAAGGGTAGAGCAAAAGCTGTTCTTTGACGCCCTCCTTGCTGAGGAGGGTGGGTAAGTGGCTCTTGTTAGGCTGGGTCCTTACTTTGTCTCTAAAGTGCACATGATATTTTTCTTGCACTAATTGGTGTTATGTGCTTTATTTCTCAATAATTTTTTTAAGTTGAATGTTCTCTGAGTGGCAGGATTCTGGAGAAATTTTGTTTTCCTGGTTGACTTATGTTTTAAACACTTGCTTTCTGCTACCTTTCTTGATGGTGCCATGGTGATGTGCTTGCTCCTTGGGGAGCCCTTCCCGCCACTGCTTGGCCTGTGAAAATTCCATCTTTTTGTCCAGGAAGATTGTGCAGGGCTGGTCTTCCCAGTGCCGGGGCTGCTGCACTCCCTGCGGATTCCGAGCGGCACTGTAACGGCTTTCCTGCGGAGGCCGAGGCCGCTCCCCGGCCGTCGCCCTGGAGACCACTCGTGCTGCTGATCCCCCTGCGCCTGGGCCTCACAGACATCAACGAGGCCTACGTGGAGACGCTGAAGGTGGGTCTTGAGCGTGGCTGTGGCCCCAAGCACCTCCTCCCAGCCTGTGGTCAGCAGCCCCTGGGAAGCAGCCATTGGTCAAGAGAGGCAGGAGAGACATTAAATAAAACAAGGTTTTTGAGAATTGGAACATGAAGAACTTATAAGGTGTCCTCAGTGCAGGAGCCTGACATTCAAGGCCTGCTGAGCCTCCCAGGTGTCTGAGGAGGGCGAAGGCCCACGGGCCCACTGGGGGCGCTCCTCCCTGTGTGATGCTGACATCACCATCTGCACCCCAGAAGCAACAGGCAAAGCCTTTGGAGCTTCAGTTGATTCAAAATACGGAGTGGAAACATTGCCTTTTGTTAACCATCTTTAAACTTTGTTAAACGTTGTGTGTGCCGTGTTTCATCCCTGTAATCAGGATGTTGAGATCTGAGGGTCACAGTGTAAAGCCAGGCCTGGCAGGAAAGGCTGTGAGACTCTTATCTGTTGCTAATTACCCACCAGAAAACTGGAACTGGCGCTGTGACTCAAGTGGTAGAGTGCTAGCCTTGAGCAAAAGAAGCTCAGGGACAGTGCCCAGGATGAAAACTCAAGTCCCGGGACTGGCCAAAATAATAATACAATTTACTTGTCGTACGCTGGTGGCTCACACCTGTCATTCTCTAGGAGACAGATCTGATGATTGAGGCTCAGAGCCGTCCTGGGCAGCAAAGTCTGTGAGACTCATCTCCAGTTAACCAGCCAAAAGCTGGAAATGAGCTGTGGCTCACGTACTGGTGTTGGCCTTGATGAGCAAGAAAGCTAAGGGACAGCGCCCAGGCCCTGAGTGCCAGCCCGGTACTGGCACATGCCCGTGCGTGCACACACCCCTCCCCCTCCCCCCAGTGTTCCCCTCAGACAGGGTTTCTTGTCTTGGTCTTTTCTTCCTCTGGCTCTCTGACTGCTCTCTGCTGTAGTCTCAGTGTCAGCTCCCCTTGTTTGAATTTTTTTTGGGGTTATAAAGCTGACATACAGAGGGGTCACAACCCCATAAGTCAGCTGATGAGTCCATTTCTTGTTGCACACTGTCAACCCGTCTCACCCACAGTCGTACAATTCATTTGAACAGTGTCCATTGAGTACCACTGCTGCATTTGTTCACTTTCGTTTCTGTGGCCCCCCTTTGCCCTCCTAAAGACTGACACGAGATGAAAACAAACAGCAACAAAGGAAAAAGCCTCTTGTTTCTATCAATACTATTTTATAGGGTCAGCTGCGCCCGGCCCCTGCAAGCCTTGTGTTCCTCTCCCACACATCCTTTGGTCTCCCTGTCTGTGTTCCTCTCTCTCTCCCGCGCATCCTTTGGTCTCCCTGTCTGTGTTCCTCTCTCTCTCCCGCACCCTCCTTTGGTCTCCCTGTCTGTGTTCCTCTCTCTCTCCCGCACCCTCCTTTGGTCTCCCTGTCTGTGTTCCTCTCTCTCTCCCGCACATCCTTTGGTCTCCCTGTCTGTGTTCCTCTCTCTCTCCCGCGCATCCTTTGGTCTCCCTGTCTGTGTTCCTCTCTCTCTCTCCCGCGCATCCTCCTTTGATCTCCTTGTCTGTGTTCCTCTCTCTCTCTCTCCCGCGCATCATCCTTTGGTCTCCTTGTCTGTGTTCCTCTCTCTCTCTCTCCCGCGCATCCTCCTTTGGTCTCCCTGTCTGTGTTCCTCTCTCTCTCCCGCATCCTCCTTTGGTCTCCCTGTCTGTGTTCCTCTCTCTCTCCCGCACATCCTCCTTTGGTCTCCCTGTCTGTGTTCCTCTCTCTCTCTCTCACATCATCCTTTGGTCTCCCTGTCTGTGTTCCTCTCTCTCTCTCTCACATCATCCTTTGGTCTCCCTGTCTGTGTTCCTCTCTCTCTCCCGCATCCTCCTTTGGTCTCCTTGTCTGTGTTCCTCTCTCTCTCTCCCGCGCATCCTCCTTTGGTCTCCCTGTCTGTGTTCCTCTCTCTCTCCCGCATCCTCCTTTGGTCTCCCTGTTGTGTTCCTCTCTCTCTCCAGCGCACTCTCTCTCCCGCGCATCCTTTGGTCTCCCTGTCTGTGTTCCTCTCTCTCTCCCGCATCATCCTTTGGTCTCCCTGTCTGTGTTCCTCTCTCTCTCTCTCCCGAGCATCCTCCTTTGGTCTCCGTCTGTGTTCCTCTCTCTCTCCCGCATCCTCCTTTGGTCTCCCTGTCTGTGTTCCTCTCTCTCTCCCGCATCCTCCTTTGGTCTCCCTGTCTGTGTTCCTCTCTCTCTCTCCCGCGCATCATCCTTTGGTCTCCCTGTCTGTGTTCCTCTCTCTCTCTCCCGCGCATCTTCCTTTGGTCTCCCTGTCTGTGTTCCTCTCTCTCTCTCCCGCGCATCCTCCTTTGGTCTCCCTGTCTGTGTTCCTCTCTCTCTCTCCCGCGCATCATCCTTTGGTCTCCCTGTCTGTGTTCCTCTCTCTCTCTCCCGCGCATCCTCCTTTGGTCTCCCTGTCTGTGTTCCTCTCTCTCTCCCGCGCATCCTTTGGTCTCCCTGTCTGTGTTCCTCTCTCTCTTCCCGCGCATCCTCCTTTGGTCTCCCTGTCTGTGTTCCTCTCTCTCTCTCCCGCGCATCCTCCTTTGGTCTCCCTGTCTGTGTTCCTCTCTCTCTCTCCCGCGCATCATCCTTTGGTCTCCCTGTCTGTGTTCCTCTCTCTCTCTCCCGCGCATCCTCCTTTGGTCTCCCTGTCTGTGTTCCTCTCTCTCTCTCCCGCGCATCCTCCTTTGGTCTCCCTGTCTGTGTTCCTCTCTCTCTCTCCCGCGCATCCTCCTTTGGTCTCCCTGTCTGTGTTCCTCTCTCTCTCCCGCACCCTCCTTTGGTCTCCCTATCTGTGTTCCTCTCTCTCTCCAGCGCATCCTCCTTTGGTCTCCCTGTCTGTGTTCCTCTCTCTCTCTCCAGCGCATCCTTTGGTCTCCCTGTCTGTGTTCCTCTCTCTCTCTCCCGCGCATCCTCCTTTGGTCTCCCTGTCTGTGTTCCTCTCTCTCTCCCGCGCATCCTCCTTTGGTCTCCCTGTCTGTGTTCCTCTCTCTCTCTCCCAAGCATCCTCCTTTGGTCTCCCTGTCTGTGTTCCTCTCTCTGTCCCCCGCATCATCCTTTGGTCTCCCTGTCTGTGTTTCTCTCTCTCCCGCATCCTCCTTTGGTCTCCCTGTCTGTGTTCCTCTCTCTCTCGCTCCCGCACATCCTTTGGTCTCCCTGTCTGTGTTCCTCTCTCTCTCCCGCGCATCCTCCTTTGGTCTCCCTGTCTGTGTTCCTCTCTCTCTCGCTCCCGCGCATCCTTTGGTCTCCCTGTCTGTGTTCCTCTCTCTCTCCAGCGCATCCTCCTTTGGTCTCCCTGTCTGTGAATGCCCAGAGCTTGTCCCCATGTACTGGGTTTAGCTTTCACATGTGAATGAGAACGTGTCCTGCTTGTCTCTGAGCTTGGCTTACCACACCTGTGTGATTTGTTCTAGGCCTGTCCACTTCCCTGCAAGTGACATATATTCTTTCTAAAGGCTGAAACCCATTTCTCCTTGCCCACCCCTCACCTGACTTGCCTGTGTCCATTTCTCCTACCCCCTGGCTCCGATCTGTATCCTGGCCAGGCCTCCTCTGCCCTCTCTAGGCCTCTCTAGGCCCTCGCTCTCTTTCCCTGAGCCTGTGGGAATATGGCGGAGCTCTCTAGACTAATGGCTCTGGGTTTGTTTTTCCGTGGTGGGGTGGGGTGGGATGTCTGTGCCTGCCCAGAGGTGTCTTCCGTGCTGTGCTCAGCAGCCCCCTCTCTTCCACAGCACTGTTTCATGATGCCCCAGTCCCTGGGTGTCATCGGAGGGAAGCCCAACAGTGCCCACTACTTCATTGGCTACATGGGTGAGTCTGGCCTGCCCGCCGGGTGACGTTCCACCGCAGTTCCGGCTGTACGTGGGCTCTCCCCCCGCCCCTCACACCTGCTGTGATGTAATCACGTAGGGCCCTGGTGGACAGCCCGTGGCTTCTTCTGTGAGGGGCCCCTCCTGACATCCAGACCGGCTGGCTGCCGGGCCCTGCGCATCTTCCAGCCCCTGCCCCGTCCTCTGCCTGCTGCAGCCCTCAGCTTGGTTTGTCAGGCTGACCGGCGTGGCAGGTAGCCTTTGCCTGCTCCCCCCTTGTCCCTCTGACTTGTGCATCGTCCTTGTCAGGTGAGGAGCTGATCTACCTGGACCCCCACACGACGCAGCCTGCGGTGGAGCCGAGCGACGGCTGCTGCATCCCAGACGAGAGCTTCCACTGCCAGCTCCCTCCCTGCAGGATGGGCATCGGGGAGCTCGACCCTTCCATTGCCGTGGTACCTGAGCAGCTGCCTTTGTGGTGGGGCACTGGGGCCTGAGCACCCGCTGCCTCATGCTCTTTCTCCTTTTCTTTCTTTTTTTTTTTTTGGTCGTGGGGCTTGAAGTCCGGGCCTGGGCGCTGTCCCTGACCTCTTCAGCTCAAGGCGAGCGCTCGATCACTTGAGCCACAGTGCCACTTTTGGTTCTCTGGTGGTTATTTGGAGATAAGCGACTCAGGGACTTTCCTGTCGGGGCTGGCTTTGAACTGTGGTCCTCAGATCTCAGCCTCCTGCGTAGGATGACAGGTGTGAGCCACCGGTGTCCGGCTGCCTCTTGCTCTTGCATGGCTCAAGGCTGATGCTGCACCACGTGAGCCGCACCTCCACGTCTGCCTTTTGGGTGGTTAATTGGACTTGACTGCCCCAGCTGGCATTGACCTCAGTCTCCTGAATGGGATTTCAGGAGTAAGCCACAGCAACCCAGCTAAGCATCTGTTTTGAGTCATTTTATGACAAATCCTTTGTGAGAAAAAAAGGAAAAACTTGAGTTTTGTTTTTCCAATATTTCAGTTTCTTGTTCATGTGGTTGGAAAGCCCAAGGCCTTGGACATATGAACAGTAACCCTCATCCTTAGGTCTAACCCAGAGACCACCCAGGTGGCCCCCTGGCCTTCGTTTGGGCCAGAGCGCGAGTGTGAACCTGGATGTGTCCTGTAAGCATGAGGGTGTGTTTCTCCACTTCGCACACTAGTACATGGTGGTCTGTTGAAGCATGTGTCTCCTGTTGTTTTATGTAGTGTTTCTGGGACCTGGTTCCTCAGAATGAGAGTCTTCTCCCTTTTGGATGGTGTCGTCAGTGTTGGTTGTTGTATGCAAACCCGCGTACTCCCAAAATGTCCTTGGGGAAGTAGAATAAGAGTGGAAAACAGTAGCAGTGCCCGGCCTGCACTGTGGGATCCACCACGTGGACTGTTCCGGTAGTGGAGAATGGGGCAGGTCACTTTGACATGGCACAGCCACAGACACCACCCTGAGCAAACACTTTTGCTCACTCCTCCCCGATCGCTGGGGAGGGTTGGGAACCGGGTGGGCGAGCTGGACTTTCATCAGAACCCACTGTGAGTCCTTCCTCTAAAATTAAGTATCCCTGTCACCGCCAGTGCGTCTCAGTAACTCACAGTGGCTGGTTCAGTAAGTGGACCACCAGCCACCCAACGGTGCTCAGCGCCAGCAGGCCAGTTCTACACCCGCTGCTCCCACCACAGGCAGAATAGGAGTAGCGACTTAAAGAGATGGGCCTTCTGTCTTCAGTCTCTGTGTCTGTACTTAAGCATGTCCATAATGAAGTGTGTAGAGCAGACAAGGCCTTTGGAGTAGGAGAGAGCACCCAGGAGCCGGGCACCAGTGGCTCCTGTCTGTAATCCTAGCTACTCAGGAGGCTGAGATCTGAAGATTGTGGTTCAAAGCCAGCCCAGGCCGGAAAGTCCTTGAGACTCTTACCTTCAATAACCTACCAGAAAAAAACCCGGAAGTGGTGCTGTGGCTCAAGTGGTAGAGCGCTAGCCTTGAGCTGAAGAGCTGAGGGACAGCGCCCAGGCCCAGAGTTCAGGCCCCAGGACCAACAACAACAACAAGAGCACCCAGGTTGAGCTGTCCCCGTGTCAGGCATTTTTTTCAGTCTGTGTTTTGTCTGTTTTTCCATGTAAGCATCTGTAAATCTGGCGGGTGTAACGTTGAGTGTCCCCACATCAGATCACCTCTGAGCTCAGACCCACTTTGAACTGCTGCCTTGTCTTTGCTGCTGCTCCTTGCTACATGCCCAGAGGGAGTAGTCTCTCTGCTTTGCCCTGATGAGTCTTCAAAGCCTTTGTCGTTCTCAGAAAATCAACTGAGGCTTAAAAAAAATGGACATGAATGCTGATGGCTCACCTCTGTCATCCTAGTTACTCGGGAGGCTGAGACCTGAGGACCGCAGCTCAGCGCCAGCCTAGGCAGACAAGTCCATGAGACTCTTATCTCCTTTAAGCAGCAAAAAGCTGGGAGTGGAGCGTGTGTGCAGAGCGTGTGGAAGGCCGTGTCGTGGAGCGTGGGTGCAGAGCGTGTGGAAGGCGGGCTGTGTCGTGGAGCGTGGGTGCAGAGCGTGTGGAAGGCTGTGTCGTGGAGCGTGCGTGCAGAGCGTGTGGAAGGCGGCTGTGTCGTGGAGTGTGGGTGCAGAGCGTGTGGAAGGCCGTGTCGTGGAGTGTGGGTGCAGAGCGTGTGGAAGGCGGGCTGTGTCGTGGAGCGTGGGTGCAGAGCATGTGGAAGGCGGGCTGTGTCGTGGAGTGTGCGTGCAGAGCGTGTGGAAGGCGGGCTGTGTCGTGGAGCGTGGGTGCAGAGCGTGTGGAAGGCGGGCTGTGTCGTGGAGCGTGGGTGCAGAGC